ATGGAAATAAAAAAAAAAGAGAGTTGGCCTTTTAAGGGAAAAACCCCCCAAAAAGTTTTTTTGGGGTTTTTTTTTTTTTTTTTTTTTTTTTTTTTTTTTCATCCTGACGGCCCACAGTTTGGGAACCTCTGGTTTAGATTGTGTGTGTGTTTATTTTTTTATTTTTTTTAATTGTTTTTGGTTGTGTATTGGATTGGTTTTCCAGTTCCAGTGGGGAGTGTTCTGTTCAAAATTAAAGCCATTACTCCATTGTCAATATACTGCATAAAGGTGTTCTCAAACAGACAATATACCAGAATCAGAAGAATTTTATTGTCATTGTCAGAAAGACAACAAAATAGCGTGTTTTTGCAATTAAGAAGGATGTTAAGAAATTCTGCTTATTGTAAATAGGATTGTAATAAAAATCAAAAAAGGAGAACTAAGAATTTGTTTTTGAGAAGGGTTATCAGTTGGTGAGTGAAAGTCAGAAGATGAGATAAGATGCCTGCAGGGAAGAGAGATAAGGAAATGATTAATCACAATTTTTTTTTTTTTTTTGCTGTTTTCTGCAGGTCAAAGTGACACAGGAGCTAAAAAACACTCACACGGAGCAGATGACAAGGCTGCACTTTAAACATCAAACCGAATGTGACCTGCTGGAAGACATGAGGTATGACGGATCTCCGCTCTGCATGAATCGCTCCAACACGATCCTCTGTCAAAGTATGAAAATGGAAAGGCTCAAGCCAAATGGCAGATGTTTGGAAATCTTGTCGTCTGATTTTACATGGCAAAGATGTGCTTGCACAGAAACGCAAAGAAAAATGGCGAAGGAGGCGGCTAAGGAATTAGAGGGAAGTGACACGTGAGAAAGACGCAAACCGAGGTGGGAGTTTGTCGTATTGAGAAGGAATTTCCAGCTCTCCTTTTTCTTGTCCGTGCTCCGTTTTCTTTACAAAATATCAATCTATGTCACCCAGATCCTTGAATATTCGACGTTCATGCGCGCCATCATTTTTCAATCTGTTTCTTTACTTTTCCTTATGACGCACACGAGTCGACAGTTTCATCCCACAGCCGAATCTGTCTGGATTTAGGATAAAACCTTGATTCCCTTTCTCGGTTTCAGTTTCTCTGTTGACTAAACACTGATTACATATGACAACAATAAAAAACAAAAACAAAAAAACTGAGCCTTTCTGCTCCCAGTGCTGTCCTCTGCTCTGTCTCAACTCTTCTCTCTGTCTCCCTCCATCTCTTGGGAGGCAGCTCCAGCTGTTTGGGACCAGACTGGCCTGTTGCTGCAGGGGTTTTGGAGAGTGAACAAGGCTCAGGTCTCACTGGTGGGAGATTTTGAGAGCCAGCTAAACGCCGCATGTGACCGCAACGTCTCGGTTGTGTAAGTCGGCGCGAGATCAAGCTGCATACCGCTGGTTAAAGAGCTCAAAACTTTGTCCTTGTCGTTCTCATCAGTGAGGGGAGAAAAAAAAATGCTGCCTGTAGTGTTTTCTCAGTATGTCACTCGAGCTTTTAATGTTTTGTAATTATTTGTGATGATGCACTTTGATGGTGGTAAAATGGGGGAGCAGCGGGGTTCTGTAGTGATTGGGGAAGTCGTCCTTTGATTAGGTCGCTGGGGCCCGGGCCCCTGCAGTGACCCGCATCTGTTTGCCGTTTGTTTCTTTAAGCGAGTCATTACGGCTATTGTCAAAAAGAGCCACAATTTGATTTTTAATACAACTCTGCAGCATACTAGTGATCACGTTGATAGGTGCGGTACCTTGCTAAAGTGTTTACCACTAAAACCTTTTCACATTTTGTCTTTTATGCAGCAGCAAAACAAGAGTTTATTGGGATATTATTTGCTAGAACGACGCAAAGCAGTGCATACTTGTGAAGTGAAAGGAAATGATGTACGCTTTTTTATTTGTTTTCAGCCCCTGGAGTCAATACTGTGAAGAACAACATTTTGTTACAATCATAGAGGAAAGATCTTTGCTCTTTACAGACAACTCGTGCTCGGTCTGACTGGATGAACGGCATTTTGAACAGCAGTTTTCAAATCTTGCCACAGATTCTAACTAGGCATTTGGTCTGCACTTTGACTAGGCCGTTCTACATGAACAAGCTGTGATCTGAACCATTGCATAGTAGCTCTGGCTTTGTGCTGGAAGGTGAACCCTTGACTCATTGTGAGGTCGTCAGCAGCGTCCAACAAGTTTTCTTCCAGGATTTCTTCTAATGGATGAATGGATGAATAAATAAATACTGTGATTAATAAATAACTAATAAATATGCCGTAAGTTAAATTAATTTCCCTATGAAATAAAAACAAGATAATGTTTTTTTTCTTTTACTTTTTATTTCAAGCTCTTTTTATTTTATGTTCTTATGAGACTGGAGTTTTCTTCCTGTTATTCATTAATTTAATTAGTTTACGTTGGTTCTTCCCATAAACTCTCCTGAAAACAAATTGAACTTTTTGTGTGTGTAATGTGACAAAATGTGAGTTTGAAGAAGGTTTTACATTTATATTTAATGTCACAGTAAAGATGGAGTACCACCTTTTTAGGTTTAACGTTTTATCCGGAATATTGAATCTGTTGTTTTAGTTTCTTGTATACTTGCAGACCGTAAAATAGTTTTTTTTGTTTTTTTTTTTGTTTTTTTTTTAACCATTCCTGCGCATAGGGGGGAAAAAAAGGCTCATCAGTCGCTTGAACTCTGTAAGAATTAATCCGATAAAGTATGGAGACTGACCTTTGAAATGACTGAAGCATACAGCAGGACAACAAAACGTCTGGCCTCATGAGACATTTTGTCAGAGTTGAAAAGTGCATATTATTCCATATGAAGAATACATTAAACGCAGCGCCTTAATCCCAAAAGCTGCTCTGAGGTTTTTGCTGAGGTTATTTACTCTCATCAGACCACTGGGGAGCCTGAATAAAAACGCTCTCTGCACTTGCCCGCAAAATCTATAAGGCTCAGGATGACGGTGGAAAGACTAAGCAACGCTGGTGAGAAGAAAGATGAAAGAGGGGTGGGGGGGGGGGGTGTTTAATCTTCTGGTTTTGATGTCTTGTGAAGGAATGGTCAGAAAAAGACAGGGAGGAGAAAATGATGTGTAGTCAGTGGGTTCAACTTGGTGTCCTCAATCCACCTAAATCCCCCTATATACTCTTATATCTGACTCAATAGAGATACACTCATCACCCTGCTGCTGCTGACTGTTTAAAATCAGCTCACAAACAGAACGTGTGTGTTTGTATTCCTCTCATTTTGGCTACACTGGCGTTCATCGTGCTATTTTGCTGTATTTTACGAATGACAAGAACATGTTTTTCCTGTTTTTAAGTCTTTAAAATGTTTTCGGCTCAAGGGAAATGTTTTTTTTTTTTTTTTTGAGAACAGTCGCACAACGTTTGTAATTTCCTGACACATCAATAGTAATCAAATGATCAGTAAAAGTGCAGCTGATGGCGCAGGATTTGACTGGAATCTCAATGCGATTCCCATCCTGTCCTGCTGGAAGGGAATTATGAAAAGGATAATTGAAATTTGCGACGCACACAGATTTATTGACCGATTCCTGGGAATTGTCCTGTACATATCATTAAAGTGTAATGGCTCTCCATGCCGAGTAGTGAGACGAAGCTCACCGATTTGAACCCAGAATTCTCCCAGGGTCCTGTTTTGTGCGGCTTCTGTAATTTAAATGCACGGGGAACAAAAAATCAAAACCTCACATTAATGCAAAACTATTCTGGAAAAGCAATTAGGCAGGGTCGTTTCTGTGTTTCACAGAATTGTGCTGCAGAAAACCTCAGCTGCTGCTCTAAACGGCAGAGAACTTGTAAGCGATAAAGTGCGATTAATCATAATCAGCATTAACACAGCCACACTATTCCCATTTCGCTTGAGACCCTGTAAGAGCAGAGATTGATCATCTTTGGCTTCACTGTGTGGAGGAATTGTTACACTGTAAAAGTGACACTCCCTGAAAATAGCTTTTTGAAATGAACGATGAGTCCATGTATCCACAGAGATCTGTTTAGCAGGTTATATTTCAGCAGCTGTGACTGATCAAAGCAGTAGTTGACTGTGATGTTGTTCTGCTGTAGTTTGTTCTAGTCAGACTGTCGTATAATAATAATAATTTATTTGATGGAATTGGAAAATTGTGCAAGTTGTTTGTTTGGAGCATTAGGAGTTGGGTTTTTACTAATTACAATATCTTTTCGTTTAATCTGTTGGCCTAATTTTTTTAAATAATCTAAATGAAAAATCAACAGTTTTCCAAGAGTCAAATATTTTGCAGCAGATAATTTTTAATGCAGTGTTTGTTTAGTCGATCTCATCACTTTGAGCTTTTCTTTGTATTCCACCTGTAGATTTACGGAGCTTTCCTAAACGAGATAAAACCCTTCTGCGTCCTAGCAGAGCGTCTACGTGATCTGAAGAACCTCCCACGCCGCGTCTTGTGGCGTTTCCTCATGTTTATCTCCTCATTTTTTTTTTTTTAACCAGTGAACCCCTTGCCCTCATTAAACTAAACACTCTTTCATCCTTAAGAACATGAACATGGAGACAGTCATCCACTTCTTGGCCACTCTTTAAGCTCTCAAGTATTTCCCATCAGGCACATTCACTCTTTCTTTTCTTGTTTTGCACTTCTCGCACAGCTGATGCCGACATGATTTCCTGACTCATACGCCTTGCAGTTACAACAATGAATTAATCATAAGCAGAACGAAGCACTGAAGGAGTGTTGGAGGAAACAATAGTGGAGGAAGAATAATAGAAGATGAGAGCAACAAATAAGACGAATTAAAAAAACAAAACAAAAAAAAAAACAAGAGTGCAGCAGAAATTAATGAACAGCATGACCAGGTTTTAAGAAGTGGAATACAACTGATGAGTACAACATATTATTGCTGATTACAATCTTTCCAGTGCTGTAGGAATGAGTAGTGTCACATAAACATGTAAAGTCAATCTTAGGCATAACTGGCTGCCCATGTTTACAGATGCAATCTCTGCTGTAATGTCACCATGACATCATGAATGGTCTAGACATGCCCAGGGATCCCAGCGCGATTTGTTTGCCGATGTGCTTATTGACTCTGAACTTGTGTTGGTTTCTCTCCTGTGCTTTTGAGGCGCCTTGCTAACACAAATATATAGCAATGAAATGTAAAGACTAAAAACAGGCAACATTAAAAGAAAATCATAAGGAAATCAGTTTGCGTGGGTCAACATCTTGTCACAGCACAGTACATGACTGTAGTATTTTAGCAGTGGTAACTGCATAGCCTTAGGGAAAAAAGGTTTATGTCCAGGAAGTCCTAAACCAAGGCTTTTCAAAGTGTGGGGCGCCAAAGTTGTACGGGGGGGTGTGAGACACGTGGAAAAAAATAACTGAATATTTAGCCAACTTCACCAAACCTATGTCTGAGACAAAATGGATAGACTTTTATAACTGAAGGCTTTGGTAAGGAGACAGTCTATGGCAAGCAAAATAAAAAAGATGGAATTATATGACCGTAGTGACTTAATGTTTTTGAATTTGTTTTTCTGGATCTGAAGATGCTTTCCACTGATGAAGTTGGATACACCTATTATAGAATATGTCTATGCCGTAACATGGGACAATAGGGACACTTCATGGCATTTTTTTTGTTGAATTTAATTGCTGAAATAAATAAACTTTTGATGATAAAACGCACTTTTATTGAACAATATCAGTAGATGTTTTAATCACCATTGATTTGGGGGGGGGGAAGAGGAACTACATGTGGATATCTTCCAAAAACATTTTCAGCAATTGTTGCATCTTATTGTTTGCAACCAAGAACGAAGGCTTTTTGATAACTGGTGACTGTTTGTTGGGAAAGGTGTGGTGATACCTAAAATCAACTCTGACGTCGGTGTTTGTTTGCTTTGCTTTGAGTAAATACACCGGTACTACAGTGTAGATAAGAACTGCGGTTGCCTGCTGATGAAGTCTTAGTATAAATAGATTTTCAGGAAATAACGCACAATTATCACTTAAAGTGTGGCTCACATCTATTTCTGTTCAACTGCTAAATGGTAATCACTGATCCCACACACTATATATCAAGTTAAATAAAGTCCCAGTGTAGGAAACTATTTTAGGCCACAGGTCACTAAAAGCTATATCAGGTCTGGGCATTTGGATCATGCTTCTACATAGTGGTGTCCTGAGCATGATTTCAGGTAATATGAGATATAATAATCTACTAAATATTGCATCCAAGAAGTGATTCTTGGACAATTGGGACTCTTGTCTTTGTTGGTGTTGATTTTGAAGTTTAACAGAAGCATACTTTACTGTGCTGCTCTTCCTGTTTGGTGAGCACCATGTCATGAGTGATCACCTAACAAAAGCAGGGATGGATGGGAACAACAGACCAGCAGGGAACATTATTGCTGTATAAGGTGTGTTTTCTTGTGGAGCAGGCGTGTGTGGCGCTGTGGCTTAGTTGGTTAAAGCGCCTGTCTAGTAAACAGGAGATCCTGGGTTCAAATCCCAGCAGTGCCTTTTTTTTTTTTAAATACATATATATGTCCCACCTTTTCCTCATTTTTATGTGATAACTCTCGGAATAATCAGAATCAGCTATATGCCAAGATTGTGTGCCCAAGCAAGGCGTTTGACTCTCACTGATCTGATTGCTGCTCAGAAAATTAAAGGAATCTATAGAGTCTGGATGCATTTTGATGTAAATCAGGCTCCTCCTATCCTAAATTTCAAGGGTTGTTTTACTTCTCTGTCGAATGCGGGGGTTTTATGTCAGCTTCTGGTTGGTGAAAGCTTCTACATTTACCCTTTTGACTGAAGTATCGAGGATGGAAGCTTTCTGATGTTTGTTTTGTCGATCTGCGTTTATTTAGAGCGTTTGAAAGGAGTTGTCATAATAAAAGACTTGCCCCGTGTGAGGCTCGAACTCACGACCTTCAGATTATGAGACTGACGCGCTGCCTACTGCGCCAACGAGGCCTGCAAAGTTTCTCTTTCAGTGCTGAAATCCACAGCCGGATGTGTCTGGTTGGTCTCAGATTTCAGTTGACAAGAGACCGAGGGTGGGGTGAGCTGAACATTAACTGCTGCGGCCGACTGGAAGCAGAAGCTGGTTACTTTTATTTATATATATATATATATATATATATATAAATATATCTATAGATATATATAGATATAGATATATTGTATTGTTTGAAAAGATTGCTTTAGCATGCCAAGGGAAACGTTTGACAAGGAGAACTGGCCTATTTGTTTGCTCTGTAATTTGCAGAGAGAATTGACTGTAATTATGCTGCCTGTGCTGCCGTTTCTGTTTTTATGCGTCTTCCTCCACTGTTTGAATCCTCTTATGGGTTTGGATTCCACATGTTAACATTTAATTGCTCACAGTAATATTTAAAGAGCATAACACCTTTAAAAGATCTGTGGATTGCCTTTAATTGTTGATTTAGCATACAACATACAGAACATGAGTCATTCAATGCATGACTGTATTTGAGCAGGGCTTGACTTTACTTCTTTAAGCTTTTTATTAGTTCCTCAAGTAATTTCATTTGTAACACATTGGCTTTTTTTTTTTTACTTTTAAGAAAGAAGTGATTTAAAGACTTATTTTCAGGTAGATTGGGAAATTGCTCATGTCTGCATAAGAAAAACAAAAAAGGCAACAGTGCTGTTTCTCCCCTCAACACATTTACATGTGAAAATAGCTGTTGTCACATTTATTATTATTTAAGATCTCAATTCTTGCAGAAAAACTAATCTTTTTCAGTTCACCCTTATCCTATTGCTCCCAAACAACCTGTGATTTACTTTAGTTTATTTTTTTTTTTGTTTAAATAAGTCAGGAAAAACTTGGATCAAGTACTCTTGGGCTCTGTTTCCGCGACAATATTTTGCATTTGCTTTTCTAAAATGTTTCACTCTGACTGTGTTTATGCAACATCACCAGGAAAGTAGATGTTTTGTTGTATTTTGGCATATCATTTACACAATAAAAGTGTGGATGCAAAAGTTTGACAATAGGCCTTAGAGTGAAACTTTTTAGAAACACAATGTGAATCATTTCCATGTGAATGCAAACTGAAGACTTTTGGAAACAGGTTCCAGTGGACTGAGGCCATTTCTCATCTGTCTGAGGTTCAAATAAGTAAATCTAGACAGTTCTCTTATTTTGTCAATATGTGTTTGTTGTTATTATTATTATTATTATTATTATTATTATTATTTCTCAGCTGGCTTTCAGATTTTTTTTTTGTCAGGAAGCTTTTTTCAAAAATCTCTAATTTTTATTTTTACCAAAAAAAAAAAAAAAAAAAAAAAAAAGGGAAAAAACAAGGCTTTCTTTGCTAAAAATCTAAGATTTTGACCCAGTCTAAGTAAGTTGCAGCTTTAAGGAGTGAACTTTGATCTTGTAACCTTTTAGCTTGTAATGTTAACTTTTTTGGGTCTGTCACATTCAATTACGATTCCAAACTTTTCCCAGGACCTCTACGCCTCGACTTGCATGTTGTGGCCCTGATTATACAATGTGTGTCAGTGTCATACCAAACTAAAATATACAGATACATTTCAGAAAATATGTAGCACCTGTTGCTGCTGTTGTATTACTATTTAAAGTTCTTGACATGTAAACTGCCAGGTTTCATTACAGGTATTTCTTTGTCATATGTGAAGTCATTACAACAATTTTATTAAAATTAAAAGGATGGTTTATATGAAGTGCACACGTGTAGTCGACGTCTGACCTGCCTGGACAGATCAGCAAGTTTGGAAAAAGATTCTTGCTCTGTCTTTGCATCAGGAAAACTCCAGGCTGAGAAGATGATTTAACACACTGATGAGAATCATGAGATATGCTGCACATACGTCAGGAAACCATGTGAAACGAATGTGATGAGACATTCAAATCCTTTTTTTTTTTTAATGTACTGGGGCCGAGTGGCAGCTATAATTCATTTGAAAAGGGATATTTTGTTGGAGTGTGTAGAGGAATGGTTTTAGCAGTTAATCTGCTCTTTTTTTTGCAGAAATAGTTGGGTGTTATTTTTATCTGTATGTGCAATCACAGTGAAATGTTGTGCTTCTCATGGTGAACATTCCTGAGCATTGATAAGGGCATCCATGGTCTCTGATGCCAGGATGTTGTTTGTAACAGGGAGGGCATGAGAGCCCTGGTTGGTGCTTTTTTTTTTTTTTTTGTGGGTCAGAGATGTTGTAGTTATTTTTAGAACAATCTGTTCGGATCTGCTTAAAACATTATGCCGAAATGTTTGAAGTTGTGAAAACACGCTAGTAATTTCTTTCTTGAATCCAGTGTTTCTGCGAATTAAGGTTTTTAAAACTGTGGTGGGAAATGTGTGTTTCAGCATCAACCCAATTGGGTTTCAGTTTTTGTTCATCCGTCTGTTGCCAGGTGCTTAAAACAAGTCTGTCTTTCTGTCTGCAGGAGCTACAGTTTGAAGAAAGGACAGCTGGAGAGGGACTATGCACAGGTAAGACTGGCAGGACTCCTCTTAAATAGAGAGACCTACCTTAGTAGCTGTTAAGGAATCGTGTCAGATCATGTTTACAACCATATTAATACTATCGGAAGATATTGCTATTTTGTAGGGGTGCACCGATTGCAGTTTTCTAGACGACCACCCATTACCGGTCTTTTCAAAGCCCGATCTGCTGATTCCGATTTTGGCCGATAAGATCAGTGGATGAGGAAGTACAGGCCGATCACCGATCTTCCAAAATTATGGAAGTTGGAGAGGATTTATCGGTGCACACCCACTATTTTGTAATAGATGATCTGTGGAATGTGTCACAAATTAGGGTGATGGCCTGCAGACCTTACAGACTTGAAGCTCATCACCAAAGATAAATCATCAGCAGTGGATTGAGGCAGTTTCATGTTAATTGCTATTTCCCTGGACAGCAGTTAAAATGAGGGCTTTATTTACCACCTGCAAAGATTTTTCTATCCATTATTTGGAAGGGTTTTAATCATTTTTGACATGACATGACATAACTGAAAATACATAAATGGGATTTCAGATTTTTAAATTGACCAACCTCACATCCACATTGGCTGTGTTGCTCATTGCCCTTTGTGTGACTACACAAGCTGACGTTGCTCTGTGTGTGATGGAGTTCTACCAAATACAGGCCGAACAATTGCTGAGTTTCAAAAGTATAAAACCTAAATGAAAGCAAAAACTGCTTTATGCAGGCTATTTTGAATCTTATATAAAACCTGGTCTGTTCTGTAATACAGGGTAATATGTTGGATAGTAGTTAACATGATAACATTTGAAAAGGCACAGACAAATTTGTTTTGATCCTCTTTATTTTCTACTGGCACATGGTTGTATTGTGTTGCAGGTCAAGGTGGTGAGAACACGGCAAATGTTTTGGGTTAGATAAGTGAGGTGGCGCGTACTGTTTTTGTTTTTCAAGGTTTTGTCCCACTAGTGGCTTTCATTCATTAGCTAAACAGGAAGAATGGTTGAGTGAAAAGGGGACGACGTGCAGCAAATGGCCCAGATCCAGGTCTGCAACCCCGGACAGCTGAGCCCCCCGGTGCTCCAGCTTGAACCTTCGGATTATGAGTAACTAAAACTGTTTTGTACTTCGAGTTCAATGGTTCATCGCAAAGACCGATCACAGCGGTCAAGAAGTCCTGCATTGAATTTCCTTACTAAAATAAAATAAATAAAACATTTACGTACGTTTGAAGATGCAAAATCATTGTGAAGAAAATCTTAACCAAGTTTCATGTGAATGTTTTTGTTTAGTATTCATGTGCTTTTATTGTGATTGTATGTGCTAGCTTGACTAAGTCACATTAGTGTATATTTGTGAACTGGAGAAATGATAAATGGGTTTTCAAGATATTTCTTCAAATGCAAGAATGGTGTGCATTTGCAGTTGGCTCTCCCCAAGTTAATACTTTGTAGAGCTGCATTTGCAGATCTTCAGTGCTTTGTTTCTACTAACTTTTTATGTCTATAGAGCCTAAAATTTAAGCCATTCTTTATAACCCGTTGCTAAAGCTCAGTCACATTTCATATAGAGTTTCTTAGACACTTTTCAAGATTTCTAGAGGTCTGATCTTTGATCTTTAACACATAAATGTTCCTTCATCTAAAATGTTTAGGTTGCTGTTTTGGTAGAAGGCAAACCTTTGCCCCAGTTTCAGGTCTTTTGTCCACTCTTTATAAGTTTTCCCTGTGTTTAGCTCCGTAAGCTCTCACCAGTTTTCTGGTCCCGTTTTGCAGAAAAGCATCCTCAGAGCACCACACTGCCTCAAATATACTTCTCTGTGATGATTGTGTGTTCAGGGTGTTAATTTTCTATCCACACATATTTTTGTAAGCGTTTATCTTCAGTCATCTAACCAGAGACCTTTCTACCAGCCTTTCATTGTGGCCCATAAATGACTTGTGGTTCCATGCAAATGGGACTTCTTATGACTTTATTCTTCTTCTTACTTCTCTCCCATAAAAGTCAGATTTATAAAGAAGACAAGTTTCTCAACTAAAGCTGTGGATTTCTGAAGTTAATTAGGTGACTTCTGAAAATTATTGGTTTTATTTACGACTGCCACAGTGAAGGAGGTTGAATGCAAAATGAAAAACCACACTTTACATATTTTACATTTAAAAACATGTCGCTGGCAAGTTTTTCTTCCACTTGCCAGTTATACACCACTGTGTCTTGGTGTAGTAAGTGAAACCGCAACATTATCTGTAGAACTTTGTGGCTGTAATGTGACAAAATTAGTAGTTTTTTTTGTTGTTGTTTTTTTTTTACCACCAGTTTCATTACAGACACAAATAAAGGGGGCGGCAGAAAGGAGCACATTAAGGGCAGAATACTCGTGTGTGTGCGTGTGTGTGTAGTGTTTTCATTTGCATGGTTCTTGAATGATTTGGTTTCCTGTGGTCACACTGACAGTATTCAGACGCTCATTATCTCCCTCCATGCCCACATTGCCTTGCCCGTCCCCCCGCCTCGGGATGCTCTTCCTCAGCACTGTCTGCTCCACCTTAGGGATGGAGGCTGCCTAGCAACAAGCCCTCTAATCAGTAAGACAATGGAGGTCCTGCTAATTGTAGGTGTGTGTTCGTGTGGGAATGTCTGAGCACAAAGGACTTTAAGAAAGAAAAAAGATTTTATGAGGGGAATCCTTAAAATAAATAAGCTGATTTACCCTCTCCTGTCATCAGAAATGGTAATTTTGCTCCAAGCATATCTTTTGCCTTTTGTTGCCTTTTCCCACAGACACATTCCAGTGAAAGAAGGGAGGGGAAAACATTTAGGGGAATTTAAAAATGCTTAAAAAGATGAAAGCATGACTTGTACAGTCAAGATAACAGCTGGACCATTTGTGTGGGAGGACCGCAAAACGCCAAAGAAAGTGACGACGCGGTCATTTAACCTCTGCCCCTTCAGTTTGTCAAAGCAGGCGTCTCCCTGTGAGAGAGTCGGCTGCAATTACCGGCAGCTAATTAAGGGATCCATGTCCTCTGTTTGTGTGTGTGTGTGTGTGTGTGTTTTGCATGTAAGAGTTAGCTGCTTGTCTCGTGTTCCCCCTCCTACGACATCAACATTACAGGAATAGTTTCAAGCTGAGGTCACACTTCACTGTTCAGCCCAACACAGAACAGCGGCGGCCTGCTTTCTGTGGCTGCTGCTCCGTTACTCTGCAGACTCGCCGCAACATATATCAGAATTAATATGATGGGGGAGTTGAGGTTATGTAAGGTCTGCAAGGTTTTTATGCATGGTAAGAAGTGGTATGCTTATTTATAGTGAATGATTTCTAGGAAAACATTTTTTTTTGTCTTGTAACTTTCTATTTTTTGCCCTACATCAGCGTTATCATTTTTGGCATCTCTTTTACATTTTCTGTATTTTTTTTTTTTTCACTTGCTCTTCACATGTTCTACATAGTTAAAGTTTATGCATTTATTTATCAGATACAAAATTAGGGTTGCAGCTAAGAATTATGTGAGTAACTGATTATTCTAGTATTATTTTATTCTGACAATTAATCAATTAACTGGATGAAAAATAGTGGTCATATTCTACCGATTTTTTTTTAACTTTTTTAAACCTTAGTGTTGTTGCACCTTTACAAACTCATGCCCTTCCCCAGAAATACCCTCAGAGTGCTGTCTTTTCCTAAACTAATCATCTCCCGTCTCTCACTCTGTGTGAGTCCTCTTCCATTCACACTCTCCTCCATCAGCGCCGACTTTACTTCGGCTCTTAATCAACAGATGAAGAGGTCAGGGTCGAACCAAACCAACACACGCGGCTGCAGGAGCAAAAGAGTGCAGACAGGAAGAAAATCAAGTTTGTTGATTGAAGAGGAAGTTGAGGAAGTGAAATGGTTGAACAGAAAGCCACACTAATGTCAGGTAGAAACCAGAGACGGCAGGTAGGGACTGAGACAGAGCGCAGACAGTGGAGCAGTGAGAGCAAACGCAATGTGGAAGCATCAAGGTGACTTGAGATTGTTCATTAGCCAAATGGGAAATAAAAAAAACAACAAAAACTTCTGCACTAATTAAGTAAACTGCACAGAGTAAAACTGAGAGCTTTAACAATAGCGTAATCTGTTTCAATCTAGAAGGCTGTTTTCTTTTTCATCCACTTAGAAAAAAAGCTGTCAAGGTTAGTTTTAGTGTGTTCCTGGAAAATATGTAGTTTTAAAGAATTGTATTCTTTTTGACTCAGCTTCCACTTTGTTTTAATACAAACTGCAAAGCATGACCCCCCAGATAGCACAGAATGATTGAAACAACATTGAATCAATGTCAGCCAGAA